CAACTTGTATTGATTTAGACTGGATCTGCAGAAAGTGCCAGAGCTTTACGGGGGCCACATGTGCGGGGGCCGAGGAGGGCGGAGCCTGGAGCTGTCAATCACACGCATCCGTCCAATGGGGTGAAAGTTTGGCTTTAATAAGAAGGTCAACAACCTTTGACCCAAAAATGGAAAATTTATTTTAGATTTTTTTGAGTTTAGGGAAACTTCTGTTCTCTAAGATTATTTTAGTGGGAAAAAAGTACTTTTATTAAACTTTTCAATTGATATTCACAGGATATTATGAATAGGCTTTATAATATGTTCAAAGATACGAGGAGAAATTAGTGTTTTAAACTCTCAATAGAGGGCAGCATTGATCTATGTGTCGTTTTCCTTCCGTTTTTCCTCCAAGTTGAGGTTTTGAAATTCAGCTGATATTACTTTTATCTTCATTCTGGATCATACTGTTCAATTAAATAATCTGAGGTGCATAAATACATACAGGTAAATCCATCCATAAGAGAAATAGTGCTATAAATCGACAGCGTATAGAGATGCTCCTCTTTCATCCACGGCTTCAGCTCCAGGTGTTCAACAAACACAGATCCAGAGATCATACCTGCAGACACGCAATTCAGTGTGTTTTAAAGCTGCGCCTCTCCACAGGTGGGGCTTGATCCAAACAAAACCTCATGGACTTCTGGGAAAAACTACGCCAAGATCCAGAAAATCATGTAGTAGCTATAGCAACACTCTCAAAAAAAAAAAAAGGTACAAAAGCTGTCACTAGGGTGATACCCATTTTTCTCCCTTAAAAAGTGCATTATGGGACATGTTAGTACCATCTGAAAGCTTTTGTACCTTTTTTATCCCTTAAAAAGTGCATTATGGGACATGTTAGTACCATCTGAAAGCTTTTGTACCTTTTTTATCCCTTAAAAAGTGCTTTATGGGACATGTTAGTTTTTGTACCTTTTTATCCCTTAAAAAGTGCATTATGGGACATGTTAGTACCATCTGAAAGCTTTTGTACCTTTTTTATCCCTTAAAAAGTGCATTATGGGACATGTTAGTTTTTGTACCTTTTTATCCCTTAAAAAGTGCATTATGGGACATGTTAGTACCTTCTGAACGCTTTTGTATCTTTTTTATCCCTTAAAAAGTGCATTATGGAACATGTTAGTACCTTCTGAACGCTTTTGTATCTTTTTTATCCCTTAAAAAGTGCATTATGGAACATGTTAGTACCTTCTGAAAGCTTTTGTATCTTTTTTATCCCTTTAAAAGTGCATTATGGAACATGTTAGTTTTTGTACCTTTTTATCCCTTAAAAAGTGCATTATGGGACATGTTAGTACCATCTGAAAGCTTTTGTACCTTTTTTATCCCTTAAAAAGTGCTTTATGGGACATGTTAGTTTTTGTACCTTTTTATCCCTTAAAAAGTGCATTATGGGACATGTTAGTACCATCTGAAAGCTTTTGTACCTTTTTTATCCCTTAAAAAGTGCATTATGGGACATGTTAGTTTTTGTACCTTTTTATCCCTTAAAAAGTGCATTATGGGACATGTTAGTACCTTCTGAACGCTTTTGTATCTTTTTTATCCCTTAAAAAGTGCATTATGGGACATGTTAGTACCTTCTGAACGCTTTTGTATCTTTTTTATCCCTTAAAAAGTGCATTATGGAACATGTTAGTACCTTCTGAAAGCTTTTGTATCTTTTTTATCCCTTTAAAAGTGCATTATGGAACATGTTAGTTTTTGTACCTTTTTATCCCTTAAAAAGTGCATTATGGGACATGTTAGTACCATCTGAAAGCTTTTGTACCTTTTTTATCCCTTAAAAAGTGCTTTATGGGACATGTTAGTTTTTGTACCTTTTTATCCCTTAAAAAGTGCATTATGGGACATGTTAGTACCATCTGAAAGCTTTTGTACCTTTTTTATCCCTTAAAAACTGCATTATGGGACATGTTAGTTTTTGTACCTTTTTATCCCTTAAAAAGTGCATTATGGGACATGTTAGTACCTTCTGAACGCTTTTGTCTCTTTTTTATCCCTTAAAAAGTGCATTATGGAACATGTTAGTTTTTGTACCTTTTTATCCCTTAAAAAGTGCATTATGGGACATGTTAGCATAGATATCCATAATAAAGCCTAGATGTCTCGTCCGCGCTGCTGGCCAATGGAGGTCGACGTCCGCACCTGGCGGCCATCTTGCCACAGGCAGCTCACTCGTAACATTGTGTTTTAATGGTGCATGTACTTTTTAGATAACCATAACTTGCTAAATTTTCTACCGATTTTCAAACGGTTTGGTTTGTTATAAACGTCAGAGATGTAGTTATGACACTGCATACTTATGAATAATAAGTGTATAAATAAATAATCATCCAGAATTATAGCCACGTTAATATCGTTTGTAAGAAACCAAACCGTTTGTAAATCCGTCAAGATTTCAGCGAGATAAGAGTATTTGTGTTGGTGCTGATCACTCATCTTACATCAGGCACCACAGAGCCCGCCAGAAAGCTTGCCTGTGACAAGATGGCCGCCGGTGATGACGATAGACACTCCGCCGTCAGACATCTAGCCTTTATTATGGATATCTATGCATGTTAGTACCTTCTGAACGCTTTTGTACCTTTTTTTATCCCTTAAAAAGTGCATTATGGGACTTGTCAGTACCATCTGAAAGCTTTTGTACCTTTTTATCCCTTAAAAAGTGCATTATGGGACTTGTCAGTACCATCTGAAAGCTTTTGTACCTTTTTATCCCTTAAAAAGTGCATTATGGGACATGTTAGTACCATCTGAAAGCTTTTGTATCTTTTTATTCCTTAAAAAGTGCATTATGGGACTTGTCAGTACCATCTGAAAGCTTTTGTACCTTTTTATCCCTTAAAAAGTGCATTATGGGACATGTTAGTACCATCTGAAAGCTTTTGTACCTTTTTATCCCTTAAAAAGTGCATTATGGGACTTGTTAGTACCATCTGAACGCTTTTGTATCTTTTTATTCCTTAAAAAGTGCATTATGGGACATGTTAATCCCATCTGGACGCTTTTGTACCTTTTTATCCATTAAAAAGTGCATTATGGGACATGTTAGTATCTGAAAGCTTTTGTACCTTTTTTATCCCTTAAAAAGTGCATTATGGGACATGTTAGTACCATCTGAAAGTTTTTGTACCTTTTTATCCATTAAAAAGTGCATTATGGGACATGTTAGTACCTTCTGAACGCTTTTGTACCTTTTTATCCATTAAAAAGTGCATTATGGGACATGTTAGTATCTGAAAGCTTTTGTACCTTTTTTATCCCTTAAAAAGTGCATTATGGGACATGTTAGTACCATCTGAAAGTTTTTGTACCTTTTTATCCATTAAAAAGTGCATTATGGGACATGTTAATACCATCTGAAAGCGTTTGTACCTTTTTTATCCCTTAAAAAGTGCATTATGGGACATGTTAGTACCTTCTAAACGCTTTTGTACCTTTTTATCCCTTAAAAAGTGCATTATGGGACATGTTAGTACCATCTGAAAGTTTTTGTACCTTTTTATCCATTAAAAAGTGCATTATGGGACATGTTAGTACCATCTGAAAGCTTTTGTACCTTTTTTATCCCTTAAAAAGTGCATTATGGGACATGTTAGTACCTTCTGAACGAATTTGTACCTTTTTATCCATTAAAAAGTGCATTATGGGACATGTTAGTACCATCTGAAAGTTTTTGTACCTTTTTTATCCCTTAAAAAGTGCATTATGGGACATGTTAGTACCATCTGAAAGTTTTTGTACCTTTTTATCCATTAAAAAGTGCATTATGGGACATGTTAGTACCATCTGAAAGTTTTTGTACCTTTTTATCCCTTAAAAAGTGCATTATGGGACATGTTAGTACCTTCCGAAAGCTTTTGTACCTTTTTTATCCCTTAAAAAGTGCATTATGGGACATGTTAGTACCATCTGAAAGTTTTTGTACCTTTTTATCCATTAAAAAGTGCATTATGGGACATGTTAGTACCATCTGAAAGTTTTTGTACCTTTTTATCCCTTAAAAAGTGCATTATGGGACATGTTAGTACCTTCCGAAAGCTTTTGTACCTTTTTTATCCCTTAAAAAGTGCATTATGGGACATGTTTTCTGAACGCTTTTGTACCTTTTTATCCATTAAAAAGTGCATTATGGGACATGTTTTCTGAACGCTTTTGTACCTTTTTATCCATTAAAAAGTGCATTTTGGAGAGACTGGTCATGTGGCTTAGGATAGTGACCCGGCTGTGATCAACGGGAGGGAAGATTTAAAGTTTCAAGTTTCTGTTGCACGTGATTGTGAAGTCAAATCAGCTTTAGCACAGATTGTTTCACTTATATGCAAAAATGGAATATAGCATAAATCATTTGTGAATAAATCAGTGTTTCCATCTCATGTGTTCAAGAGAACAAAATCATCACTTCCTGCTGCAGAATATCAGTATAAAACTGTAAGTTTCTGCAACCTTTCTCTTTTCCCTCCATCATAAACGAGTGTGTGTCGAGCGTCATCATAAACGAGTGTGTGTTGAGCGTCATCATAAACGAGTGTGTGTTGAGCGTCATCATAAACGAGTGTGTGTTGAGCGT